AGTTATGAGGTCCTGGGTGAATTAGTTAATTTCCGTACATTTTCTTAAAGATAAAATCAGAGTAAAAAATAATACCTACCCCATAGCATTTTTATAAGATTGTGCAGGATGATATTTGTTTAAAAAAAAAAATTCAAACAGTACCTAAAACCTGTGTTTTATCAAATCTAAGATGCCATCAGTTGTGAGATATACCACTTTTGTGTGTATTCCTAAGAAGGAAAAGCAGTGCCAATTATAATTATAAGGTGCTATTAGTTATGTCACCTCCTGATGTGTTAAAAGGTGAAAAAACTATGTATTTTAAAATCAGTGAAGTACAATAGTTGGTGCTGTATAAATAATTAAAATTCTGGTTCAGGCAAGCTGATAATTCAGGGCAGTGTGGCCCAGTCCTAAGTTTGAATAGAAAATAATCCATTTGTACTTGTGGATGGTTATATAGCAACAGAGTTCTAAGTAAATCATAGCATTACTGAACGTCCAGATCGTTTCTTGACTGCTCCAAGAAGTTACTGACACATATATTTTTCATTTTCTTAGTGGAGTTTAAAACTGCTTTCATTACAGACTCAAGGGTCATTTAGTAATCTAACCAAGGCATGATGGTTTGTTATGGACTGAATGTCAGTATCCTTTCAACATTCGTATGCTGAAGTCCTAACCCCAAATGTGATTATATTTGGAGAGAGGGCCTGTGAGGTGGTAATAAAGAGTAAATGAGGTCATTTAAGGGCATGGCCCTAATCGGACAGGACTGGTGTCCTTATAAAAAGAGGAAGAGACACCAGAGCTTCTGTTCTCCATGTGAGGACATAGCAAGAAGGTGACTGTCTGCAAGCCAGGAAGAGAGCTCTCACCAAGAACTGTACAGGCTGACATCTTAAGTTTAGACTCGCAGTCTCCAGAACTGTGAGAAAATACATTTCTGTTGTTTAGGCCACCAAGTCTATGGTATTTTGTTATGGCAGCCCAAGCAGATTGAGACAGTGACGAATGGGAGGACATTTCCTGAGGGATAACTGTGAATGACTACTCCTGGCCCCCGCTCATAGCTAGTCATTAGCTGCCAGGGAATGTTTGACTGAAAGTTGCTGATTTGCAATTGGAACCAAAGACAGGATCTCCCCTCCAACCTTTCCCAGCCCTTACTTTTCTGCTCACTCAGTGCTAAAGTTTCACAGTATTTTACTGACATTATAATTACTATTTATTTAATTTTACAGTTGTATGCAACTACCTATGGGGAAATCAATGCTCTTGTTATGAACATTTAATTAGGTTTATCATTTTAATCACTTCTCCATATTCATGCTTTCTTAAGTAGTAGATTGAAAACTTTCTCTCTTGCTGGTAGTTTGATTCTCTGGGTACTGGTTCTGTCTGCCTTAGCATTTGTTCTCACCAGTAATTGAATTTTCCTGCCATCAACATTGAAGATGGCGTGACAAGGTTGGTCCAGAAAACATTCAGAATAATATAGAGGTTATTGTTTGGAAAGCCTGTCTTTATGGATAAAAAAGTCTGAATCATGGAATATTTTGAAATTGGTTTTATTTTGAAACACATGCATCAACAGAAACTAAGCAAAGCATTCACCAGTGGGAATCCTCGGGGAGACCTCTTTTAATGAGTAGATGAAATTGCTTACAATTCACATAACAGTTTCTATGTAAATGGATGTATCTGAAAAATCATGAGCACACTTGAGGGTACTTGAAAAAGTTGTCTTTCCTTAATAATTTCTGGACAGAACCTCTACAGTCTTGTTTATGTTATTTTTATCAGAGCAAAGATAAGTCTCTGCAGCCTGGTATAGCCAGAGTTGTTGTATTAGTTATCTACTGCTGTGTAACAAATTACCCCAAATCTTGAAAACCTAAAACAATCAACAGACATTATTATCTCACGCACAGCTTCTGAGCATCAGGAATCTGGGGGTGGCTTAGCTGGGTGGTTCTGGCTCAGGATTTCCCATGAGACTATAGTTATGCTGTTGGCTGGGCTGTAGGATCCACTTCCACACTTACCCATGTGACCAATGGCAGTAGACTATAGTTCCTGGCTATGTGGGCCTCTACCTAGGGCTGCTCACAACATGGTTTCCCCAGAACAGATGAACACGTGAGTGAGCATGCCATTGTCTTATCACCTAATCGTGTACATGGCAAGCCATCACTTCTGCTGTGGTATGCTGTTGTCACACAGACCGAGTAACTCTGGATTAATGTGGGAGGGGCCCGCGCAAGGGGTCTGTTTGCAAGTTTACTGACACGGCTGTTGTCAGGACACTTCAGTTTCTTACCACCTAGGCCTGTCTGTAGGGCTGCTCATGCCAGGGTTTCTCCGGAGTGAGTGATCTGAGGGCCTGGAGATGACAGCCACCTAATTTTGGACAAACCAGCACATCTGCTGCATGCTTTGGCTCAAATAGACCAAACCTGGTACCATGTGGGAAGGGACTGCACAAACCTGTGAATACTCTGTGGTGGGGATGACAAGGGAGCATCTTAGAGGGTGGCTGCCACAGTTGACATGTTGACCTAAGTCAGGCCAGTCAGATGCACCCTTTCCTAGAACTGACGTGTGGAGCAGCATGACAGATTGAGTAGAATTACTCATTCAGGTCGAGCCATGAGAGTAGTTCCACTTATGGTTAGCTACACTCACTCTTCGTTCTGCAAACTCCTGATCTTCCAGTAAAGTCTCTTTGCATTAAGTTAGCTCAAATCAGTTTCTGTTGTTCTAACAAAAGACTCCTAACTGATAAATGGATTCCAATGTAAATTACCCTTAAGTACATATGCAATACAGAAACTACTTTGTTTATCATAGGATGATGGAATTCAGGTGGTTGGTGATGGGAGAGTAGCAAGAAACTGTGGTGCTAGATTGGAATCGGAGATGTCAGTGTGTACTTATGCTGTACCTGCACACAAACGTCCTTGACCTATTTGCTGAAAGGGCCTGAGTCACTCCCTAATTGTGATGAGTAAACCTACATATTGAGATTCAGGTTTCTAAGTCTGATGCCCCATGAAAAGTAATCAAGGATTCTTGAAGAAATTATGGGGGCAGGGAAAATACCAGGTAAGTCTGGAACTTCTTGAGGGTCAGAAGGTTAGTAAGTTCTCGAAGAATATGAGAATATGTCACAGCTCCTCCTGCCTAGATCTGGGACAATTGGAAGGGTCTCCTCCTGCCCAGATCTGGGATGATTTGAACATTAACATAGAATCAGTCTTACAACTATCATATTGATAATTGATTCAGGTGGAAATCATCAATGGATACTAAAACTAGTAGGTGAAAGTTTGATAAAGAATGGGATATATTCATAGTCTCACTAATATATCTCCCTCAAAATGCTTACTAACATAAAGGGAAAAATAATACCTTTACAATGGAGAAGCCTGACAGATACCATCCTCACCATTTAATTAAAGGTAATAGCACTGATAATGGGATGAAAGGACGTTGGGTGTTTCCTGATATGATGCACTAAGAATATAGAATCACTTCTGGGACAATCTGCTAAAGATGCATTGCTTGAATCTAATCAAGAGGAAGCATCACACAAATCCAAACTGAGAGACATTCTGCAAAATAATTGGCATATAACTCTTGAAAAATGTCAAGGTCAAGAAAGAAAGACTGAGAAGGAGTTTCTGAATAAAGGAGGCTAATGAAATGTGACAATTAAATGCAATGCATGCACCTTGGTTGGATTCTGAGCAGGGGGAAAATAGCTATAAAAGGCATTATTGGGATATTGGCAAAATTTGAATATAGATTGTACATTACATAGTAGCGTTGTGTCATGTCAAATTTTCTGTCTTTAATCATTATGTAACCTTATGTCTTTGATTTTAGAAAATACACAGTGAAGTAGTTAGGGGTTAAGGGGCATCATGTCTGAAATTTACTCTCAAATGGCTTAGAAAAACATGAGAGAGTGAATGATAAAGCAAATGGGGCCACATATTAGCTGGTGAACCTGGGTGAAGTCTGTTACAGCAGCAATTGCCAACTAATAACAAAGTACCACACATTTAGCACCTTTCTGCAGATCAGAAGTCTAGCACTGCCTAGCTGGAATCTCTGCCCAGCATCTCACCATCTGGTTAAATTTAAGGTATCAACAGGCTGCATTCCTTTATGGGGAGGCTCTGAGGAAGAATCAGCATCCAGGCTCACTCTGGTTATTGGCATTTCTTGAGGTTGTAGGACTGAAATCTCCATTTCCTTGACATGTGGCTCCTCCATCTTCAAGCCAGCAATGGCACCTGGAGCTCTTCATCTGTCTGCTTTCCAGGGCTCATTTGAGCCCTGAATGGCCCGATCTGGATAATCCAGGCTACACTCCCTCTCTTAAAATCAACCAGTTGGCCAGTCATGGTGGCTCACGCCTGTAATCCCAGCACTTTGGGAGGCCAAGGCAGGCAGATCACTTGAGGTCAGGAGTTCGAGACCAGCCTGGCCAACATTGTGAAACCCTGTCTCTACTAAAAATACAAAAATTAGCCGGGCATGGTGGCACACACCTGTAATCCCAGCTACTTGGGAGGCTGAGGCAGGAAAATTGCTTGAACCCAGGAGGTGGAGGTTGCAATGAGCTGAGATCATGCCATTGCACTCCAATCTCAGTGACAGACTGAGACTCCCTCTCAAAAAAACAAAAAATCAATTAATCTCAGTCACATCTGCAAAATCTCCTTTGTCATGTAATTAATGTGACATAACCATGAGTGTGGCCCCAGGGGTTGATGATCCTGGAGGCCTCATTTCTGCCTACCACAGGTTCACAGAAGCTTTTTGCATTCTTCTCACCACCTTTATGTAAATTTGAAATGACATGTTATCAAAATAAAATGTTATAAAAAGACTCATAAGCATAGCACAGGAAGTTGGAAAATGTCATCATAGCATCGTTCTGGTTTTAGTGCTGTCATTTCCTTCTAACACTGGGTTTGTTTTTTTCTCCCCCCATTACCTACTAGGTCACCACCAAATCAAGCAGGGTACCTGTGAGGTGGTCGCCGTGCACAGGTGCTGCAATAAGAACCGCATAGAAGAGCGGTCACAAACGGTCAAGTGCTCTTGCTTCCCGGGACAGGTGGCCGGCACAACTCGGGCTCAACCTTCTTGCGTTGAAGGTAAGACCTCTCTGGTCAGTATCGCTGATATTTCAAAAAGGTCAAAACCCACCAGGAATTTCTCTACTTTGCTGCCTTTGCAACCCAAAGAAACCTAGGGTTGCTTTGAGATCAGTGTCAATCCAAAATGAACATAAATACAACTCCAAAAATGTCTTGATGGTAAGGTAAGTCTTCAATAATGTCCCTCAAGGGGTACCAATGGGGAGTTGTATTATAGGGCAATTGGGAAGACGTGCTTCAATTCCTTTTGCCCACCTGTCTCCAAATCTGACTCACCAAAGCAATTGTTTCCACAGATGCCCTGTTCTCCCACCTCTTATATACTCTGTACTCAAAATTAGCAGCATGACTTCTTACTTCATGCTTGGTGTCATAGATTAGTATCCTCTCTTTTATTTCTAGCTTATCATTTTAACAAACATTTCTAGGACATTCTCTTTGGAACAACTTCCCTGGGAATAGTTTGGAATCATGTATCATTCATTTGTAATCTCCAGATCCCCTAGCACAGTGCTGTGCCGATGGTTGTAGATGGAAACCTGGGATTGATTTCTTTTGATACCCCTGACTTCTTCCAGCAGACGCCATGTTAGAAACAAGTGTCAGTCCCCAGGGGAACAGATACACGGGGTTAGTCTGTATCAGTTGCTCTGCAGTGTCACAAACCTCCCTGAAAATGAACATTTCCAGTCTCATTTGATGCATGTCTAAAGGTCAGCAGTTAAAACACAAACACATTCTTAACTCCAGATCATATTGCACAGTGAACAAGAATGGCTGATTTATCTGCATCCCATTCCCCCTACCAAACACACACATAGACATACACAACTATATGGGCTGTGTGGCTACAGTGGTATATATGTATCAGCACCATCTCAGCCACCTTTAAAGCAGGAAAGTGAAAGTGGAAAATTTCCACCTACAGTTCTTTATCAGAAACTTTGGGGGCCAAATGTGTTGCTGAATTCAGAATTTGCTCATATTTCTTGTGGGTAACATAGCACATATACCATCTATTACCTACAGACCTAATGTACTCTCCACTTGCCCCCCATAATCATAGAAATATTACTATATCTGCAGTGAAATGTGCAAATATTCATGCAGGATGGGATAAGGCTGGATAAAGAACTTGTTAATTCAAGTCTGGTTTGCTGTCATCTTACCGAAAACCTTTCAATTTCCAGAGCTTTTGGATTTGGGGATTATTGATAAAGGATTGTGAACCTATAAAAAAAGATGAAGATCTTTAACATTTAAAAAATGGCACTTTTAAATTTCTTTTAAGAAATACACAGAGTTTCTACACCTCCAGCTGGGGAAGTCTAATGTATTTATCATCTCTATTAATTGAATCCAAATCACAACCATTCTTTCTCCTGGCTGTCTCTCAAATCAGCCCACTTTTCTCCATCCCACTGCTACCTCCACAGTCTAGGGGTCACCCTTAGATCTTGCTGAGTGTGCCACATCTCTGCTTCCACTTTCAGTCCTGTAGCCAGAATGATCTACACAAACAGAATGACTTATGTCACTCCCACACCGAAGACCACACGTTAGTGTCTTCCCACTGTCTTTAAGATAAACTCTAAGTTCTTTACCATGGCTTGCAGAGCCCTGCAAGATCTGTGTCTCAGTTCTCTTTCAAGTACTCTACCCTAGGCAATCCAGAGTTCTTCCCATTTCTTTTCATTTCTGCACATTACTAATTTACATCCATTGCCCTCCTCCCCATAAAACACACCTGGTCTGCTTAATTCTTCTTATTCTCCTTTCAAATCTCTTGTAAGTTCTTGCATCAACTTGGATTTCCAGTTCATGACATTCAGCCCATGTTACTGTAAAAATGTATGCCTTCCAGTTAGTATGTAAACAGTTTGTGGACAGGGACATGGTCTCTTACTTTCATCTTTCCCCATTGGCTGGCCCATGAAGAAGTTTTAGTACAGTGGAGAATGGACTTTGGTAATCACAGATTGTTCTCTACAGGCAATGTGTTTTCTTGCCTCTGTAGGCCTTAAATGTCTTCTAACAAACACTTTTTATATTCTGTCTAACCCAGAATAATGTTTTACAATATTCAAAGCACTTTTATTAGTACCTAAAAAGTACTCATAGGGCAGTGATGACTATTAGTATCTTAGTAAAGAAAATATGAATACCTTACCCTAGACTATCTTGTTTTAAATTTTATGTATGGGCAAATCCCCTTTGACCACCACCCTAGAAGTAACTACATTTATCTGTTTGGTCAATATATTTCTGTATATTTGTGTATTTGGAGCTAGGGTTGTAGGAAACAGTGGTAGATTTCAATATGAGTGTATGTTTTACATAAATGCTATCACATTGGATATTACACTCATCCTGCTTTATTCCTATCAGTATTAAGTTGCAGAAATCTTTGTGTGCTGGTATGTATTGATCTAACTGGGTGTTTTCAATTGCTCCATAGCATTCCATGTATGGATAGGCCATAATTATTTAGCCATTCTTCTTCCTTTTTAAAAATTATAGGGTCTTGCTCTGTCATCTGGGTTGGAGTGCAGTGGCATGATCATAACTCACTGCTGCCTTGAACTCTTGGGCTCAAGCAATCCTCCTACCTTGGCCTCCCAAAGTGTTGGGATTATACGGTTGTGAGCCATTACACCTGGTCACTATTCCTTTATTGATGGACATTTGGGTTGTGTTTATGGCAAAACAGACTTGCAGGTTAACTAAATGGTTTCCCTAGTGCCATAGGAAGTGTGATATGGACCAATCATGGAGCATCTGAGCAGAGTCTATGCAGCATATGTTGTATATGCTGTCTTCTAGAACTTTCTGTGATGATGCACATGTTCCCTCTCTATATATTTATGGAGATAACCTGTGTAGATAGATACCTGTATCTGTATGTGATGATGTATATGTCCAGTGTGGCTAGTAGTCATTAGCCACCCATGGCTATGGAGCATTTGAAATGTGGCTAGTGTAAATTTAGATTTAATAGGGACTTGTGGCTCAAAGCTTCACATTGGACAGTGCAGGTTATGCTTGATGTAAACATGTAACTTGTGTGTAAAATTTGTGGTCAGAAAGTACCAACACCCTGAAAGGTGAGATTGGGTCTTTCAGCCTGTGTCTCCTGTACCTAACATTGTCTGGCAAACAGTCGGTGTTCAATAAATGTTTATTAGATCAAAGTCACTGAGAAGTGCAGGAAGTTTAAGCTTTGGTTGGGATGTATGTCTGATTTCATCTCTCTTTGATCTCTTCCTTATCTGAATATGTTTCCATTAGGGCTTTTTAGCTTTACCTGCTTAATCTTTATCCCATAATAATTATGCAGTATCATGCCCTTAATTGGCATGTGGAGAAGACCTATCCTCTGCTGATATGTTCCTCTTATTTTATTTGTCAATAAGAATAGAAAGGATCTAAAATATAAAATTCACCTGAATTTACATTTAAATTAAAACAAAGGCAAGAAGATGTTGGCATGGGGCACTAATTAATGCTGACATAGGAATTGGAATATCCTTTTGCATTTCTGTTAATCCACACCACAGATACTTATCTAGTGTTTTCATTGCTTTTCTGTAAAACCATAGATTATATTATATAAACAGGGAAAATAATTAGCTGTTCCCCTTCTACCAAACTTTTTTGTTATAATTAACTTATGAAACCTCCCCTGAGTTATTGAAGTGGGTCTTTAATATACATTGGGGATTTGGGAGATGGGACAGGGAATTATTTGATTGTAAGTCTGTGGTTACTTGGGTCCTAAAACAGACAGCTATTCAGCTGGTAAGCATTCTTGTTTTTGAATCTTCGGCTGGCATATACAGGTCTGTTTTATGGTGGAAACTATATTCCACACATTTATCAAAATACTGCTCTATAGAGATAATGCTGAATGGTTTTATGATAAAATGAGACAAATGTGTAGTACAAGGAAGTTTATTTTGTCAAAACGAATGGTTTCTAAATATTGGGTTTAAATGATTAATAAAACAGAAGCTCGGAAATAGAAAGTAGTTACTTTTCAAAGCTATTTAAAAAATTTTTTGATGCCCCATCACTTTTTTTTTTTTTTTTGAGACAGAGTCTCGCTTTGTTGCCCAAGCTGGAGTGCAGTGGCACGATCTTTGCTGACTGCAAACTCTGCCCCCTGGGTTCAAGCAATTCTCCTGTCTCAGTCTCCCGAGCAGCTGGGACTACAGATGTGTGCCACCATGCCTGGCTAATTTTTTGTATTTTTAGTAGAAACAGGGTTTCACCATGTTAGCCAGGATGGTCTCGATCTCCTGACCTCATGATCTGCCTGCCTCAGCCTCCCACAGTGCTGGGATTACAGGCGTGAGCCACTGCACCCAGCGCACTTTTTCAAGACGTCAGAATTCATTTAGTTAAGAAGGAGAGTTACTGTTTGGACTGCAGACAACTTTCATGGCTTTATGGGCTGTGTGATGAGACATAGGGTCTGTCTTTACAATGTGTTTTCATTGGGATTTTTTTATTGGGCATGTTCTCCTTCCACTTAAAAGATATTTTTCTCAGTGCAGACAGCTGAATGACAGAGAGAGAAGATTTTACCAAAACACTTTGGGAGTTGGGAGGATATGTATGTTGTATATGTTGGTTCATTCATCGTTTTAATTTGGCACCTTTGTGTCTGACCTGTTCTACATGCCAGATGGAAGTATGAGAAGGAGACTCCGGTTCTGGTTTCAAGGAACTCTGAGTTTACTAGTTCAGAGAAACAAACTTTTATTAATGAAGGACTCAAAAGGAGAACAGAGAGGTGGTCAGGGATGCTGCCCCTTGAGAAGCAGTGGGTCTGAATTTAGTAGGTGGAAGGATTTGATGGTGGAGGGAGTTAGGCAACGAGGCAGCACAAAGCATATGAGAGTGAGTGGGGCTAACTCGGGAACTAGAAGTAGCTTGGTCTGGCTTGGAAACAGTAGAAAACAAAACTGGAAAGGTAAACAGAAGCCTTGATATGT